TGTTCAAGTAGTGTCATATAAAATGTCATTTAATTACTGAAGATGATAAAAGAAATTACTTAAGTAAACAATTATACGTAACTTGCAAAGTAATCTAATAGTACTTGTTGTGTAACGCGTAGTATTCATCAAAGAAATTTTCTACGATGTAAAAGAAATAGTAAAATCTAATAAAATAATAAACATCTCAAGAAATTAGTAATTTATAGATGATTTTAAGTACTCACTACATGTTAATTATACAAAGTAACTCATATAAGTACTTCTTCAAGTAGTGTCTAACAAAATGTCATTTATTAACTGAAGATGATAAAAGCAATTACTTATGTAAACAATTATACGTAACTTGCCAAGTAACCTAATAGTACTTGTTGTGTAACGCGTAGTATTCATCAAAGAAATTCTCTACGATGTAAAAGAAATAGTAAAATCTAATAAAATAACAAACATCTCAAGAAATTAGTAATTTATAGATGATTTTAAGTACTTACTATATGATAATTATACAAAGTAACTTATGTAAGTACTTGTTCAAGTAGTGTCTAAAAAAATGTCATTTATTAACTGAAGATGATAAAAGCAATTATTTATGTAAACAATTACGGGAAACTTTCCAAGTAACCTAATAGTACTTGTTGTGTATCGCGTAGTATTTATCTAAGAAATTCTCTACGATGTAAAAGGAATAGTAAAATCTAATAAAATAATAAACATCTCAAGAAATTAGTAATTTATAGATGATTTTAATTACTCACTACATGATAATTATACAAAGTAACTCATATACGTACTTGTTCAAGTAGTGTCATATAAAATGTCATTTAATTACTGAAGATGATAAAAGCAATTACTTATGTAAACAATTATACGTAACTTGCCAAGTAACCTAATAGTACTTGTTGTGTAACGCGTAGTATTCATCAAAGAAATTCTCTACGATGTAAAAGAAATAGTAAAATCTAATAAAATAATGAACATCTCAAGAAATTAGTTATTCTTCAGACTTTTGATTTTTTTTCATGTATTTTTTTAGTTTGTTAAAATAATACATTGTATGCATTTAGTAAATTATAATAAAAACGAAAGCTGCAAAAATAATGATCAGATGTCTTCATGAAGATGTCACTATGAATCAACTACAAATCAATATTAAAAAGTTGAACCAATCCTTCTATGGAATGAAATATAGTTGGTTTTATTTCAAATTTATTGAAAAATAAATTACTAAAAAATTGCTAAAATCTAATAAATAATAATTATATAATAGTAAATATACAGTGTGAACCACCATTGTCTAATATAATTCGGTTGTTCGAAAAGTGAATTGGTCGAAAACCGAAACATCTTACTTATAACAATTAATGTAAACGTGTATAACAAATTAGATTCCAATAATGACACAAACACGATTTTTTGAATGCATATAAAGATTTTACAAAACACTTACTTTTTTCAATATTTTATATATTAATTCTATAAGAACAAGGTATAAGGTAGTTTAATAAACCACTTCGTCAGCACTCAGCTTTCGCTAATACCTTTAATGGACGTCTTCCCCTTGTGTGTTTTTTTCATGTTGTTCCGGATTATGATCTTCCACTTTATTTTACAGACAATACTTCTCGGTGACTCCGGGGTCGGAAAAACATCGCTCTTAGTAAAATTCGATACCGGCAGATTTCAGTCCGGCAACTTCTCAGCCACAGTGGGCATCGGATTTACGGTAAGTCTCACTAAGCTACTTTTAACATTTCTATAGTTTTTGTGTGTGTGTGTTTTCTTTAAAATCTGCCGACAAAACAACTGGATTTGTTACGTTTACAAACAGTTGCATTATTTTTGTTCATTTAAAAATCAAAGCAACGTATTATTATTTATCACAATTGTTTAGATTATTCAAAATCCACAAACAAAATAAATCCATATAAATCAAATTTATTTTGTAACATAGTTACATTGTTTTGCAAAATGTACAAATTAAATAATTGGATAAATTTAATTTGTTACTCAAATCCATCAACATAACAAAGTTGCATTGTTTTATTAAATCTAGTGGAATGAATCGATATAAACTGAATTTATATGCCACAGTTGTATTATTTTATAGCAAATTTTACAATGTAAAAACTAAAATAATTAACAAAGTTTCAAGTTCGTTATTGAGGAGCATCATATTACGTGCATTAATAAATCCTATTAATATTATTATGAAAGTTTCCGATTTCTTCGTATAATTAAATGTAAAAAAATTGTATTTAATGCAGGAGATCATTTTTCATTCATCTAAGGATTTTTCATTGTTATAATAAATTGTTTTTTTTTGTTATGGTCTCTACATAATAAGCTTTCTTACTTTAACATATCCTCTTACAATATAAGAGAATGTTGCATTGGAGTTGAAGACATCAATGAAGAGATTTCATATTATGTAATTCATTGTATTTATTCTAACTGAAATATTCAATATACGATGTCATTTAATGTTTAATCCGCTGTGTCTCGCAACTTTGATCGTCAATAATTAATTACATTTCAAGTTGTTTATTTATGGTTATATAGTTATGACTTATTTAATGATGCTGAATCATTCCACGTTCCATCTGCAATTGTTCAATATGAGGGATTCATAATAAACTTCATAACTTCATTGAACATTAGTTTTGTCTTAAATTATTCAACAATTTCGCAAACTAATTACATCATGCAATATGAAAATTAAAGATAAAAGTATTAGCTTTCCAACGAGCCAATCATTAAGTTTGTGCTGTCATCCTTTCCGCCGTTATGAGCTGTCAAAAATGTCATTGCTGAAAATGCACTCTCCTCACGTTTTATTTAATTACTGGATAACCACTAAGTGAGTAACATAATAATACTGAATATTTAATATTTCTATTTTCAAAGTTCATGAAAATTATTTAGAAATTTTCTTAAAAACACGAGATAAAGATTTTTGTATTTCCTTAACAACTCCAAAAATAAAACACTGCTACGAGCTGTCAATAATGTAAATGCTGTTCATGTTTGATTTAATTACAGCATAATCACGCAAGCGAATTACATAATTTTAGAAAACACTATTGTTATCAAAATAGTGTCTCATTTTTTGATTGTTCTTTTTTAATTAAACAACTGAAGAATCCAGTACAACAATATCGAACAGTAATTAAAACAGAAGCGTGTCCCAATTAATTGCAATTAGATGCGAACATAACAATTTAATTACACCGAAATCTATAATTACAGTTAAAAATTGTTTTCGATGACGTTCGTTGCTTTGTACAATCCGTTCGCATTAAATGAACAATGTAAATGGAAAAGCACAACAACATTTATTATTGATTCGGATTTTGTTGAAGGCGGCGTGGATTTTGACGAAGCGTATATTGTCTTAAGAATTTACACCACTTAGGTAACGAGAAGGACTCGCGCCTTTGTGTTTTCTTTCATTGTCGGTATGCGAGCTTCAATTAGGGAGAAAGCCGCCACTTCGTTATTCCTGCGAGGATGAAACGAATTGTTTGAACTTGGAATATTCCAAGAACGGCTTTTCCGAATTATATTTATACGTCCATTTAACTTTCTTCAATTTATAATGTAAATAAAAAAAAGAACTTTTGCTCGATGTTAGATCAAAAGGATGTAAGTTTTAGGAAAGTTTCGTGCGAAATATTATTAAATTCTGTTGTTTTGAAGATGGAATGTGCACGGTGAAATGTAAACTCTTCCATCGGTTTTAAGGAATTCTGACAAGAAGTTTTTCATAGATAAACTTGAAACCTGTTTATTAAATTTATAATTATCTAATTTAATCCATTCATTGTTATGGTTTACTTAAGAAAATATCTTAATAATTATAGTTTTTTTTTGTAGTATTTAAAATATATTAATAATAGAAATACTGCAAAAAAATAACAGAAATGCTAATGATTTCTATTTGGGTAATTTTATGATAAAAAAACGGTGATTGTAGATAGGTTCGCTTAAGGCTTCAATAATTTAAAGGGCTGACTGACATCAAAGCTAAGAATACTTGATACTAAAAGTACGTGTAAAAATAGAATTCAAGGTGATTTGTGTAGATTACGGACATAGCAATTATTGATAAACAGAGAGCAGTTATTTCTGGCTTCAGTTTGTGTAAATTACAAGAGAAAACTAGTAAGCCACGAACGATATGTAACGATTTATTTAAACAAAATAAATTTCTTATAAACTATATATGAATTAAAACTCTATGTACAAGGGATCTACTAACAAAATAATGTATGTGAAAATAAAAATTGTATTAAGTATAGTAACACTGATCTGATTGGACTCTGAAGATGTTTGGTTCTGAGGCGCTTCTTTGGAGTTTCGGTATCCTTCTCATTATCTTACCTAATTCGGATTGAATGTTACCAAATTCGGGACGATCGACCTTATTGAATCTAACGCACTCTTCCACCAGAGTTTTGAGTGCTTTCGCTGTGTCCATCCGTATTTTGGATAAATTTGGTTTGAGAATGCCTCTTCCAACTAAATAGAGGATCTGAGTGTTGTCCTTTATGGGAGAGTAAGGTAATTCCATGGTGAGCATTTCGTAAAGGACGATTCCGAACGCGTAGACGTCGGATTGGAAGCTGTACGGATTGTTGTCCTGCATGCGGATTATTTCCGGTGCCATCCATAAAATAGATCCGGAAGGACAACATTCCACTTGGCTGTCATCTGAATAGAGTTTCTTGGCGGTAGCCAAACCGAAATCGCCGATTTTAACTGTAAGATCTTTGTGCAGGAAAACGTTGTTAGATTTCAGATCCCTGTGTATGATGTTCTTCGCGTGCAAATAATCCATGCCTTGAGCGATCTGTCTACCGATTTCCAGTAAAGTCACCATCTCGAATCTTGTTTCGATGACGTGAAGATGTCTGTACAAACTGCTGTCGTCGCACCATTGCGTAACTATGGCCAATTCCGGTTGGATCATGCATCCCATGAAGAGTAAAATGTTAACGTGCCTCGTTTTCCGCAACACTAAAACTTCATTTTTGAAAGCGTCCAGTTGACTTTCCGTGGGTATTTTAACTTTTAACGTTTTCACCGCGACATCCCCGTGCCAGCGTCCTTTGTACACCGTTCCGAAGCTTCCTGTTCCGATCATCTCTCCAATTTTGATCTCATTCGCTGGTATTTCCCAATCGGCTATACTATCCCTGTTCTCGTATTCCATAGGTTTGATGCACTCCTTCGAGGACATGCACACGTTGGGCTCCGAACTGGATCTGTCCTGTTGAATCAAAGTCCCCGGTTCCTCATTAAGCAAATCGGCGCAGTTCGATTCTTTGAGTGCTTTAAAAAACTTATCGCTCGCTCCGATCTGACGGCAAAGAGATGGGATCTTGTTGGAGCATCGCCTGTGAAATTTGTATTCGCACGTGCGACACATGAAGCCCTGAAACAGATGTCTGCGACAGACCTCGCAGAAGACGATAGAGAAGAACGTTTTGCGGACGAGATTGTGCGAGATGCTCGTGAAGATCGGAAAGTTTTCGATGATCTTCACGGTGATTTCATCGCAAGTCAACGTGCTGATATCCACGTCCCAACTGATATGCTCATCCGAATCACCTGGGTACACTCTGCACGTCTTGTAAAACAAATTACGCATCTTCATTGCTTTCGATAAGGCTTGCATCAACGATTGTCCTTCGTGCACTACGACACTAGTCCTCTGCATGTTCGGCAAATGCGCTCTTAAGAACTTTCTATTCTGCTTCATATTCGGACTGGTGTAGTTCGCGCGGCGTTTAAGGTTCTCTTCTTGTATTTCCAGCTCGTCTAACTTTGCCGTTAACTCTTCGTACTCCAACACGCACATCGGAGGAGGTTTCGGAAAATCCGCGAACTTCTCGTGAAGCGAATCGATGTTCGTCCGTATCAAACTCATCACTTTTCTTATGTTCTTCAACTCTTGCCGAACGTCGCACTCACTGCTACTACCGCTGGTCGTCATCTGGGGATAGAAGTTTAGGACTATCCGGAATGAGGGATGTTTTTTAACTGAAGACTATTTGCGCGGTGCTCTTCAATTTATACAACTTTGGATGCAGGTGGGGCAGGGGTTTCGTTGCTAAGATACCTGTATCAGTGAAAGCGATTCTCGATAGTCGGTGCACCGAGTTTAGGGTGTCTACAATAAAAAAGAGTGAAACGATCACGAAAACATCACGTTCGAAAGCCAAGAGGGTCCTGCAATAAAACCCCAGATTTGGCGAAGGATTTGCATCCCTGAATGATGGTCAGAACGTCTAGGCATTATGATTTTCTTTGTATTTAAAGCCTTTTAGAAGCATAAGGAAAGCCATGAAGACATTTATTTTGGTTTGCAATTCTATCTTAATAGTAATTAAAAAATACTTAATCTTCGAAGACTTATATTGTTAATTTTGTAGTATACCAATAAACTATCCTTGCGTAACTAATTTCAAACGTTGCATTTACAGTATAAGTCAATCCCAATTTATTTCCAAGAATCTTTTAAAATTCTGTAAAGATCTTGAACCTTGAACATTTATTTTTTCAGAATTTATTGTATTTTGAAGATATTTGCAAATTATATCTACTATTATAAACTAATGTTTAATCTGAAATTCTGTAAATATCTACCTGATATAGTTACAAGACGCACCTATTCGAAGTATAATTTCAAGAATCTTTCAAAAACCTGCAACAATTTGTTCC